TTTGAGTTATATGAGAGTTCGCAATTCATCATTTTACTTCTCGCCTCGAGCGGGGAACCCTGAACTCACGCACCGTTTAAAGTGAGGAGTACTTCACCGGAGGTGGTAGAGACTTAAACAAAGGAAACGGCTTAGCTGAAGAAGTGGTCTCAGAATACAAAAGATCCTGGCGGATTCTATACTACAAAGGAGAAGGATGCACGAGCGAATGCTACAAGCAATCAATGCCTGCAATCATATGAAAGCATACATGCGGAACAGGCAGACCAAAGATGGTGACACTCTCGAGCATGTTACACTGTTGGTCTCAAGCCACTACAAGGGGCCACTTTCACAGCAGTGGTCGGTTAATGAAAAAAACTTCAGTGTATTTGAAACTTCTATTTCCCGAGATAAACTTGAAGGGAGAGTACAACAAATCTAGGTTGGGGGATTTATGTCAAGGCATATTTCGTGAAATCTGCCTTGGCGTAAATCCCGCAACCCAGTTTTGTTGTGCTCTCTCTTCAATGCATTCGTTTGAGTTTAAAGAAAGGTTAACATCATCGAATCCTTCAGAAATGGAACTAATTGTTGCCTAAAGGGTCGTTGTTGTTTGATGCATGTTTTAGTTAACACTCGGACTAGTAATTCGTATACATATCGAAATCCGAGCAGTAATAGTCCAACCCAGAACTAGGACTGGAAATGAAATCAGAACACAGAACTCGACAACAGAATCTAACTGTAATAAGCTGAAAGTCGGATATCATTTTCAATAAAACAAAGTTCATAGTTCATGAAAAATCACCACAGTGCATCACCAACTACAATGTCATCGACAGATATAAAAGTGGAATGAACAGGGAGACAGTGCAGTATCAATTGCGCGCGTTCCATCAGTTAAATGGAATGGACATTGTATTGTATTGTATTGTTATAACTTCTGAAAGCATGACGCTTACATTTCAGTTAAAAATATACAGTTTGGAGCAAGAGAGAAAATGAAAATAACACGGAAAAGTTATTTAAATTCCAAAACTGGCAAAAAAGTCTGTGAAAACCTGTTATTTGTTAGCAAGAATGCGTACCAATGAGGCTACTGTGCAGTTACAATAAATGTTTATTCGAGAGGGAACACAACAATATTGTGATCTATTTGAAGGATGGGAACAAAAGGAAGTTATGTCAGCGTGTAGCGGATGTGTGGAGTAGATGATAATCTTATGTGCAAACTTTTCACATGCATTCAAATGACGTTCGCATAGGTTAGTTATCAACTCCTTTAGTGGGATTGAAGAGACACGGCTAATGTAGTGTCCATTCACATCCCATTCTCAGTGTACCTTTCCTGCTGTGCATCTCATTGTTTTATCACACCAAGGCCACCTCTTTGGTCAGCACGTGTTTGCTTTCACTTTCCGCACGCTTACTCACTCCTCTGTATCTCTCCCTTGCTCTGCAGGTCTTTACAATACACGTCGTCCTTCGTTTCGTGAATCGCCTCGTTCTCTTCTCGTACGAACGTACGTTTGCGATCTATACGTATTAGCTCCGGGTACCGATAACCTAGTTCCTACACCAATGATGATCAATCCACGTTGAAGCAAATTAAAATCTTTCTTTAAGAGGTTGGGAAAAATAACAAGTGAACAATAAAGTAAAACAGGGAATACACACTGATACACAAAGTTTAAAATAATTGATTGTAGAATACGAAACTGACGAAGTTTACGGATATGAAAAGAAAGTCGTCGAAGCTTACTGACGATGTGTCGAATGTGAGAGGTCCAGTGAAGATTAGTATCAGTAAAAACATCCAGGTATTTATTACAGTTTACCCGGAATACTGGTTCAGAGCCAATCGATACCGGTTCACTTGAGACCGAAGAGCGTCATAATGCAGAGAGATATTCGAAACATTTGGAGGGATTAAGAGATAGGCCCTATGTGGCGGAAAACCGTTGGACGTTATCCAAGTTGTCAGAAAATTGTGAAAGAGCAGAGGAGTCGGAAATGTCCTGACACAAGACCACATCGTCACCATATGTGAAGAGAGAACTAGGGGCGCAAGCAGACAAGTCATTAATATATGTAGAAAATACGTATGGGAAAGAACTGCACCTAGGAGTATTCCAGAGCTGTTCAGCAACGGTTTGCATTTCTTCCGACCTAACCTGGTACACAGAGTTCTCCCGGTGAAGTAATCGGCAAGCCAAGCTAATAACTGTCTAGGACAACCAAAGTTCTCTAGTTTATGAAGAAGAAGGGAACGGGGAATAGAATCAAAAGCAGAGGAGTAGTCCAGAAACACACAACGGACAGATTTCGCAGAGTCATTCAAGGATTTGGTAATTTTATGTAAAAGAGAGGAAACTGCATCCAGCGTACCTCTGTTTGGTGTATAAAAAAAGTGAAGAGGGTCATATGGGACATTAATGAAGAACTGAATGCGCTTAATAACAACACGTTCTGCTAGCTTAAGTCCAACAGAGGTTAAAGCAATAGGACGAAAACGTTTGGTTAGAACGTTTGAATTAGAGGATTCGGGAATGGGAACAATTGTTACTGGTTTCCAACAGTCTGGTATATAGCGGGTTTTTAAGGAATTGTTCAAAAATTATTTGAATATTTCGCTGAGAGAATAGGCCTCATATCTCAGAAGGGAAGATGAAAGACCATCGGGACCAACGCTGCACGTGGTTTGCACGGTACGCAAAAGCTCGAAAGCTTCTTCTTTCGAGACGGCCTCTACTTGAGCGGCATCGTCCAGAAAAATGGCATGGTCGCATCGCTTGATGGGTGGATAAATGCTGCATCTAAATTGTCCAAATCCGTTGCACAATCCGGCGTTTTGGATTTGGTCCCACATAGCAATTTGATACGCTGCTAAATTCGCTTACTGTTGTTACATTGTAGATGCTGGGAGGCGTATGACGCAGACAGGCGTTTTACTTCAGCTAGGGCTGATCTGGGAACAAGAGATATCATGCCATATCTAGCTCTAGTTTGAATATCTGCATTGTGTGTATGCGCACTGCTTCAGATAGGGGGGGCCACGATAGCTTACGCTGAAAGTGGATTCTGGTCTAATTTGAATGAACCAAACTTTGGTGACTCTATTGAATCTGTCTATACTTCCATATTTTCTCGGGTGTGACGACCAGTGCACAATTTTTAAATGAAATGTAAGCATATCTTAGCTTGTAAAAGTTATAAATACAAACGCAGGGGAGAATTCGGAGTCAGAGTTGCGCACGAAATTGCGGCGAACATTTGCCAGATAGCATAATTAGTGGTCGGATAAGCGGAATGAGATTTCATAATGCATTCGAAAAAGCGACTGCTCCGTGCACTTCGAAATGTAAAGTTGTTTTGGTTCGTAGTCGGACTAGTATTTTGTATACGTATCGGATTCCGAGCACCAATAGTCCGACCCAGAACTAGGACTCCAAGTCAATTCAGAGGAGGAATGGAATTGTAATAGGCGGAAATTGGGAATATACAAGAATATCGTGTTCAATAAAACAAAAGACTTCATAGTTCATGAGCAATCACCACATCCGCCGCAGCTTGAACGAAGGTCCGGTTTTCTGTAATCACGGTGGGCTTTGTTGGGTAATCGTTCAGGTCTTCTGGGTTCTTCTTTACTGTTTCCAACATTTGTACTGGGATGTAATTCACCTGGAAATGACTCAGAAATAAAAGAATTAGTAAGTTCACAACTAGTATCAGGATTAGGTAAATTACAAATTACTTGGTCTACATGTAAACCATGTACAGTGCCATCGTTTAGATCCAATATGCGACATACTTTGTCCCATATTGTATAGTACAATGCCCCTGGAGGGTCGTAGATCGTTACCACCATGATACACGACTTCCGCAGACTCCAAGTGTAGAAGATGTTTCGAAGTACTCGACTCTTAAACAGCTTTGCTGGACTGTGTCCCGTAGTTGAATGTACTGCGTT